CCCCTATTGCTCTAACAATACTGGTTTGGTTCATCGATTCTTCTTACTTAAGCTTAGTATTACTTGTATATTCACTAGTATTGGAATAAATCACATATCTTTAAAATCACAAATCACATTTAATTGTTACTCACATTTTTCGAGGTAAACACACACAAAAAAAGAAGCCAAAAGTATGCTTCTAAAACCAGATGAATTTTGTATGTATCTCTCCCCACGCACCGATTTATTATATTTCATTTGAATTTATTATTTCAATTTAATGAGAATTTCCATAACATTTTTTTATAACTATTGCATTGCTTCAAATTTAAATAGGAAAATATCAACTATGTTCATTTATAAGCAGCTTATTCCAAAAATTGCTCAATTCCTAAAATATTACCACTATTAGCCAATTAGCTATATGTAGCCAAAAAAGTCAATTTTTTTTTTGAGTGGGTGTTAATAGAATATATTGGGTACATCTTAAGGAGATTGAATCTTAGTTTTGGGATGATTTGGTGGAGTTTTGAGGGGGTTTGAATTAAAAATTCGAAGTAGAAGATGAATATAAAAAATGAATATGTATATCACACCGTGTATCACTTGTGTATCAAACATGTATCACATTTGTATCACATGTATATCCATGTATACCTGCGTGTGAGATACATACGCGATACATTTTTTGATACATGGGTCGCAGAAGATATTTTGAACTCGGTTTGAACTACAAATTTTGATACTAAATCAGTCCAAATCACCTTCAATCTTCCTCAAAATTTCTATATTGGCTCATCTATATGTTTTCAATGAATTTCAACCATACCCATTGAAAAAAGTCATTTTTTGCTTAGATTTTTGGGATCTTGTATATATATACTTTTGTATTTCATCACCTTATTTGCTACCTCATCTACAAAAAAAAAATCTGTCTTGCATCTAATGTTGTTAATCACGTTTAAAAATATGGAAGGAGATCTTTGTGTGTGGTTCTTGGAGAGAAATAACCTTATTTATTTGTGTTTTTTATTTTTATATGTGATTGACTAGTTTTGATAAGTCTATGATTAATGGCTAGAGATTGTAAGTTGGGACTTCTTTTGGGGACGTTTCTGTAAGATTCCCATTTTAAAATGTGCACTTTTATTTAGGAATTTTTACCTCTTATAGCAAAGGCTAACACCTTATTTATTTTAAATAAATACCATTTAAAAAAATTATATTTCATATATACCTTTTAATGTTTATAGCAAAATATCTAATTTTGGTTACCTCATAACCCCAAGCCACTAAATACACTATTCAGTTACATTATTTTCTTTCTATCTCTACTTTGATACATGTCATTCTCTTCCCCCATTCCCCGAAAACACGATGCTCAATCTCAAAATTCCTCTCACCCACATAACCTACGTTCTCTCCGATCCCAATTTCTCCAATTCCATCGGAGCACGCATATATGTTACCACGTCAAATGTGTTGACATATGGTTTCGACAATTTGGACAGAGTCCATACAGATTTTCTATGATGCCTTAGAGGTTAGGCAAACATCCGTTCATCCAATCTCCGTCGGAAATTAGGCTGCCAGATTTTCTATGCTGCCGAAAATTAGGCTTTGTTCCCTTCCATCCGATCACAAAGTTTGGTGGATCCTGCTTCTCAAGCCCAGCTCTTGATTTTCTATTACGAATTATCTCTGACTTTCTTCGTTTCTCTATTGGGAATTTTTCTGGGTTGATTGTTGTTTCTGAAGTTGATGTGGGACTGAGGACATTGGGGTCTGAAGAGTCGGGTGTGGGATTATATTTCCATGTATTTTATTGTATTCATTGTTTTTTTTTCATTGTATTTCAACGTATCTCGTTGTATTCACTGTCTCGTTGTATTCCATGAATGTATTCATATATTTTTTTAATTAATATAATTTATGTATTCAAATGTATTATAATATTTTTCTGAAGATTGCTATGTTTTTGGGGTTTTTTCGGTTGAGAATTTTTTTTATAACTGGAAATACAAAATTTGTGTGTTATAATTGAGTTTGTTGAGTTATATTAGGAGTCTATTATGTTAATTGATTCACTTTCCATTTAAAAACAGTGCAATCCCCTGTTTCACGCCGTGAATACAGTCGAATACAATAATCTGTCTAGCTGTAATCTCATGTTTCACGCCATAAATATAGTCGAATACAACACCTGATTAGCTGGACTTCCCTTATTCACGACTATTTTTGCTATTGTATTCATGAATACAATAACTTAAATACATTTAATACATTTTATAATAATAGAAAACGTATCTACAGTCCGTAATATAGCAAATGACATCTATAGATAGCTAATTACCCCTAAAAGATAGTACTTTATGAAAATTTCTCTTTTATTTACTTCCTGTGTTGGACTGGAATAACTTGGACCAGAGTGGGTTGGGCCCTCTTTTACGAAACTCATGCAACTCCTGTGATCTATAAAGATGTATCAAAGTGAAAAAGCTAGCCCATGCTTTTGTAAATTGCTAGTCTCTCTTTCTCTATCTCACAGCTATAGCCTATAGACATTTAGGCAGCTTATAAACTCATGTGAATATTCAGTTAAAAATAACCTCGTGATTTCATGCGAGTCCATATATAAATCTGTCTTTACTTCATACACCGCCCTATTCCTCAAAGTACGACTAGTTAGCTAGGAAGTTCGTTCCCCCTTCCATGCGCAGGAAAAAATTACTCCCATTTGGGTGCTACTTAGCTCGTAAATTGTACCACGTGTTACTAATCATACAATAAATTATACTAGTATTTTTTTAATTATAACTACTAACATCGCTATTTTTCCAGTGTTACGACCTGAAACTCTCACGTGAAGATCCAAAAACTCCTTACGCACAAAGGTTTGGTCCATCTGAAACTAACGTAGGAGAAATGACTACCTTATCTTAAGATAAAACATAAATAATGTAGTAGTAAGATCATATATACTTGAGAGAAAATAAGCAGGCGACAGTTTAGGAGGGGAGGGAGGTCAACGCCGCAACATAAATGACCTGTGTCGTCTGTTCTTTTAATTAGCGCTTGAATGCATTTTGTTACTAATTATGCAATGCCGTAACAAAGGCACATGGCATTGAGCAACATACATGCAACACGTGCCCATGAAATGACACTTGCAAAGAATGAGTCACATGCCGCATTTAACAAGGAGCTCACCGCTGTCACGCAGGCATGAGAATAGTACTTTGGCCTATCGGGACATGTCTTAAGAATGACTTCTTGATCATAATAAGTAGTATTTGACAACTATGTTTCCACAGGAAGTGTGAAAAAGAAAGGAAGTTCCATAGAAGGTCAATTTTTGGGAAACAGTAATGAAGTCTGACTGCTGCTTAATTTTAACTCTCTTAGACGCGTCACGTTATGACTCATGATATGCTCATAAACACCACCTTCTTTCGATTGGAATTTCACACTGTTGATATATAAACATTGTAAGATCTTAAAATCTAGTAAGAAATAAGCTACCTAGCGGTCAAACGATGTACAATCCATTGAACATTGAGTAAATTGGGTCACGTCCACTGCTCATGCGTAGTTACTCTCTATAAGTTAGGTGCGAAATAAAAAGAAAAACATGTATTTTGAAAACCAATTACCAAAACTGACGGGCAATGGTGTTCTGTAAGTTCTTATTAGTGACGACTGACGTAAATACGCCCGATGCAACAGAGCGATGCCGTTTAATTCGAACTTCAAAATACACACCATATGAAGCCCGTTTTAAGCAAATAATAGTATATGTTTCGATGATGACAGGATCAACGCTTAAATGATATATCTAACACAAAATATCGCCAGTTGGGTGTCTTTAACTGCCCAACAGTTTGCCAATTAACGACATTTACGCCTACCCGACTTTTCTTTACCCCCAACCTCTTCAGAATCAAACACGTACGTATTCCACTCACGGAAAAAGAAGAAGAAAAAGAATATATTTCAAAAAATTTCAAATAAACCACGGTCATTCGGGAGAACGAGAACAGCACTAAAACAAACAGCCAATGGGGACACTTTGAAAGGGAAATTATAATAAGCTGAAAATAGTGGCTAAATCAAGGGAATTAAATATATATATATATATATANATCCTTTTTGAAACAAAAGAAATACCTATATATAATTTTCAAACGAAAATATATTACGCCTATTTTCTTTTTTCCATATTTGAAATGAATTTAACTTTATACAATAATTTATAGCCACACAAATTATATAACATCATAAGTTCAAAAGTTTTTTTCTTAACTAAACTTCAGCCTATCAAATAAGTTCACATAAATTAAAACGGAGGGAGTAATTAACACTCCTTGAACAATAATGACTCCGTCACCTGAGAATAATCGCCATAGCTCCTCTCACAGGAATTTTAATTTTCAAAGAAAAATAGGTGAAAAGATAAAAGTTAGTAAAATACTTTCGCATACGGAAGCTGGGCAGAAAGTGCAACGAAGGTTTTATAGGAAGAACTGGTAAGAATAATTACAAGTAGGAACAGTATTTCATTTCTTTCCTTAACCCATTTCCAACATTGAATGAGTACAACCTAACATTCATCTCCTTCTGCTCTGTATCTTAAAACGACTTACAAGAAAAAAATAATCAAAATTGTACTCCATGCATGTTGATTAGTTTGTTCTTTTTTATCTCGCTGCGGTTGTAGCTTTCTTCTACAAGTGCTTATGCTAATAAACTTAACCGAAGGGCTCGTGTGCACGAATTATTTAGTTAGGTGTAATTAGTTCAAAAGTTCTTATAGAGAGCTCGTGTACACAAATTATCAAACCCAAGAAATATCACCTCAGATTTCACTCTACTTTGGTCAGGAATAGATTTCCATATCACATCAGGATATTTTGTCATACGTTCCCCAACCAGGGACAACCACGTTCAATTTCATCTCTATTGTCCTATCTTCATTGTTGTACTTGTACCAACAGAAAAAGTAATGATAAAGCTGAACGTACAACAAATTAAACATAAAAAGGATCTTATGTTAGAAGAGCAAAACCAACCCAGGTCAGATTAGTTACAATACCATCTCTTGTCATGGTTCCAATTAGTAGTAGTACTAGTATTTTAAACAAATCCCTTTCAAACAGCAGAACTAGATCTGCCACCACCCAAACCCCCTTGAAAAAACAAGATATATAAAAGTGAGAACGCCCAATTCCCACCACCCCTACTAAAAAAGTTATTAAAAATATTTACAATTTCCTTTTGATAGAGAAGCATGCAGTTCATCCGTGCGTTGCATGCCCTGCTATTTCGTGTACGTACTCAAGCGCAAGTTGGCAACTGTATTGTTGGATGGCGCATAGATTTACTCTTTTACCCTTTAGGTTGAGTTGATATTACTTTTACCTACCGGCCCAAAGAGAGAGCTGCCTTTGTATCCAACCTCCATGCATATCCTCCGCCGTCCATTCTCCACACATCACACGGCAGAATCAGTGAGTTTTTCTCCTTCCCGCTTTTGATAACCCTAACCCGGCACGTGAACGCCGCCGTGTTTTTGCTTTCCGGCAGCCGTAGATCTTCTTTCATCACCAGCCAAACAACAACTTCCCCCTCTGCTACGCCTCCCTCACTTACCATCTCCTTGTACGCCCTATTGGCCCACCTAACTCTGTTTAAACCGTCTGATACAAACCCTGGACAGCTGTCCCGCTCTAGATTCACCAGTTTGTCCTCATCCGTACGTCCTAGCCCATACCCTTCCGCCCACGCGTCAGTCACGCTTTCCACCTTTACCCATGACCCCACTACCCTTACTGGCTGAGGCAACATCACTACTGAACGATCCATACCAACCCCTCCGTAACCCTGCAACAGACTATTATCATTATTATTATTCCCTTGGCTACCAAAGTTTAACCATATCGGAGCATATTTTTCTGGTTTTATCACAAAACCTACTGAATGATCGACAGGAGAACCCTTCCTTTCAGGAGACTCGGATAATAAGGGTAAGGTAACTACCGCTTGGCCCCCAGAAACTGTACCACCAGATACAGTCTTACCGTTGGACTCATTTTCCTCAGGCGAAGGTGCCTTCCTTTTTCGACCAGCAGGACTACGACTTCCACTACTAGACCTCTTGTTAGAGCTACTAGTACTACTTTTATTATCTTTGACGTACCTTCGTTTCCACCGACCCGTACGAACAGGAACCTCAGTCTTTTGTGGCGGAGTAGAAGCACCGGAAACAGACCCACCAGCGGCTGGTTTAGGAGCGATGGGTCTGAATCTGAGCATAATCCGGTCCACTTTTGACATATCGTACGCACCACCCCCTGCGTACCTAGCAATACAACACCCTCCTCTACCATCCATTTCCTTTTTTCCGTTTCACTCTTAAAGTTAGTCCAATCTCAAAGGAGAAATATACCAGAGTATATCTCTTGATTTTGGGATTTTGTTAATGTTGAAGAAAAGTAAGGTGAAAATTATGAATGCAGAGAGAAGCTAAAGGGAGAGGTGGTGAATTTATAAGTGGGAAGAGAGAGGAGAGGACGCGTGTGAGGGGGGTGAATAACACGTGGGAGAAGAGAGGTGAAACAGCGCAGAGAGCTGATTGGTTAGAGATAAAACGTGGCGCTAGGTTAAGGTGAGCCCCACGTGACAGAACCTATCGGAAGGAGGGTTTCTCTGGGGCCCATTAATATCCAATAGGAATACAGGGAGTGTTATGTATGGCATCAAAAGCGGGGCACGTAGATCTTTATAGGATGGAGTTTGTTCCAGAAGGTGAATACGTGGTCCAATTATACAGGATCATCTTAGACTCTCTCTGTCGATTGCATCACGTGGCCACCAGAATTGCTGGTTCCTAACTTCTCATATATTTTGACCATTGTCAGGGAAAAAGCATTCTACAATAAACTCCATGGATTCAATATTAAAGTTTTTAAAATTAGGTCATTGTATTAGTTACGTTATTAGTTCAAATTTACTGTTTATTACTTTTTCCGTTTCAGTTTATCTGGAATTATTTTTTTTGATCCGTTTCAAATTCTAAATTTAGAAACAATAGCTTATACTTATCTTTCTTTTTACTACTTTCCTAATTTCTAACATTAGGTTGAAAACGCTTATATGTGATTGCCGCATCAGATTTACTTGGAATTTCTTTCCTTCTTTCTCTTTCTTTTTTCTTTACTTTTTACTATGCTTTTAAGTGTTCTGTTTCAACAAAAAAATTACTATAGCAGCAACACTTTGATGTTTTATTTTATTTCCCGTTAAATTTGAGAGCTTAATTGTTTGGATGATTTTATGGTTTATGCGTTAATAAAGATAAATTTTCAACCTGTAAATTATAACAACTGATAATATTCATAACCACCGGATTTATACAAGCATTTTAGGAATATACTGAAACTATGGTTTTATTTTCATGTTTTTTACAAAAAAGAAAAAACAAAAAAAAAAACTGAGGCGATGACCGAATGGTCAAACATGTTAATATGGCTTCTACTGAAACAGACTGAATATCGATATTTACTGCGCCAATTGAATTGAGCAGACAAAGGACAAATACGCAATGTTCTACTCTAGATTTTTGGCACATAACTCAGAATATGATGTGACTTACCATCATATATACCATACTACTCATTTTGTGTCGTGCCAAAAAGGTGAAAATAAATTGCAAACATTCAATATACTAATTGAGCTTTTACTTTTAACCAATAAAGATGATCTTATTGAAATTTCATAGTCTGCTTGTTAGCTTATGTTGGACTATATTATCAGAGAGTTTTTTAAATTGAAAGGTACTGGAAACTGGGCGCGATGATCTAAGTAGCACTCTCTCGATGCAATTTATTTATCTTAGTTTGATTTGATAAAAAATTTATTGAATAGATAAAGACTTTTTAAAAAGTGTCGTTTTAAATGTCTTAATATTTATATGGCTATAAGTAACACACTTTCCTTGATTCTTTGTTTTACCGTATCGAGAAAGATATTTTGATGAATTATTGGAAAAATTGACATATACAAAAATATGTAAAGATCACTGCCTAATGCTTATACTATTTTATTTTATATGACGCTCTGTTAAGAAAAGCTTACGATATTTCTGTATTGATTAGCAATTGTTTACCTTGAAAATACTAAGTATAAATTAAATTTATTTGTGGTTTTAAAGATACGTGATTTAGTTCAATACTAATTAATAACGAAATTTAACGTATTGTGATGACCCAAAAGGTCATCACTTGATTTGCGAATAAATTCTGTGTCCCGAGGCCTTAGAAACCTCTTTTTTCCTCACCTCGACTTACGTGCGCTGTCTGGGCGTATACCCGGAACGCTTTTACGTGGAAATATGATGAAAATGTTAATTTGACCTTTAAAATTAAATTTAAGTTGTCTTCGGTCAACATTTTGGGTAAACGGATCCGTACCTGTGATTTGACGGTCCCGGAGGGTCCGTAGGAAAATATGGGACTTGGACGTATGCCCAGAATCGAATTTCGAGGTCCCAAGCCCGAGAATTGAATTTTTGAAAGAAATTATTTTACTGAAAATATAAGAGTTTTTGAAAATTTGATTATATTTGAAATTTATGGTATCGGGCTCGTATTTTGGTTCCGGATCCCGGTATAGGTTCAATATGACATTTAAGATGCGTCTGTGAAATTTGGTAAGAAACGGAAGTCGTTTGATGTGATTCGGACCCGTAGTTGTGAAAATTGATACTTTGAAAGTTTTGAAATTTTTCTTAGATTTCTATGCTAAATTCGTTGTTTAAGATGTTATTTCGGCGATTTGATCGCACGAGCAAGTCTGAATGATATTTTTAAACTTGCGTGTGTAACACCCTGTAAATTCGTCTTAGGTATGAATGAGTTGAAGGAGTAGTAAGGTTATATTTTGGACATGTGAAGTTCATTCGGGATGATTATGGAAGAAAATAGTTGTTTCAAAATCAAGATGGGAAGTGAGGTGCATAAGATTTGATAAAATCGACTAAGTTTGCAGAATGTTCGTCTTCTAGAAGGATTTAGTGAAATGTGTAAGGAATATGGGAAAAATCAAAGCATGAAAGTTGTAGGCCTTTGAAATATCTTTCCAACGATATATTGTGGAGCCCAAACAGAGCACTGAGCAAAACATTATGTCCGTTTTATAGAACAGTGTGTAACCATCGCGTTCGACCGCGTTTGACCGCGGTCGTGAGGCAGTGCTCCAGCTATTTACCGCGGTCGGGCATTCTGGGACGCGGTGGCCGACTTGGGAAGTCATTTTTAGCCCTATTTTGTCCCCCACAGCCCCAAAACATAAAAACTTGCTTTAGAAAGGAAAGCTCTCAAAAACCTAACTTCTTAAGGGTCCCTCCACCACTCAAGGTAAGTTCTAATGGTGATTTTAAGTTAATTTCAATTTTCCAACATCTTATTAACATGGGTAAACCCTCCATATCATTAGATATTCGATTGGGACATTATTTTTGAGAGAAGGAACCTTAGAACTCGAATTCAAGGGGATTGAACTTCAAAAAGGTAATGTCTTCACCCTCTAATTGATTCTAGCATTGGGTTAAAAATTATAGACTCTAGTTCATGACATATGAATTGATGGGTTTGATAGAAGAGCATGAACGATTATAGGTTTGAGTTGTTGATTGATGATTATTGGTTAAGGGTGTTGTTTAACTTTTTGGTGATGACGAATGATGTTGATTATAACCATTTGAGACTTTAGAATTTATCTAGGAGCAATAGAATGGGTTATTGGGTGTAGAGACACCATTATAAGAACTATGAAGCTTTATTCTCACCAAGTGTAAGATGCCTAACTAACCAAAACATGAGTATTATTGCTAATATGGAATCTCTTTGACTTGTATTGATATAGATTAAAGTTGAAAGGGTTGGCGAATGTTGTATTACGCTCAAGAGCAGGAAGTTAAGGTATGTGAGGCTAACTCTCTATGTTTGGGAATGTTAATGATTCTCTCTACACTACGTTTCTTTTACGACGTATCTACTGCCTCAGAAATATAGTTAAGCCTAGTTCCTTGAATAGTTGTAGAACTTCTATTCTCTAGCTTCATAACTCGTTCATGACTTTCATTCTGAACGTTGTGAGCTCAGTTCATATTCAATATAGACTTGGGTTTGATGTCCCTAAGTCTTAGTATATCTTACTCAGCATGTCATAAACAGTTGAAGTTTCAGTGTTCATAATCAATTCAAGAATACATATCTCATTCTAGTCTTATTCAATATTCCAATATTATGTAACTTAGTATGATTCAATATTCTAGTATTATGTACTCAGTGTGATCCAGTATTTCAGTATCATGTAACTCAGCGTGATTAAATATTTCACTATTATGTATTGCAGTATGATTCTCAATTCCTACTTTTAAATCTCTAAATGTCGAACACCGGTATTTGGGCATGAGGCCGCAGTTAATGCTTTATGCATCTTTGGGCCTGAGTCGCAGTTAATGCTTTATGCATATTTGGGTCTGAGGCCGCAGTTTATGCTTTATGCATTTTTGGGCCTGAGGCCACAGTTATGTATATGTATACTTGGGCCCGAGGCCGCAGTTGTGCACACACATACACACATACACACACACACACACACACA